AGACGTGTGCTCTTCCGATCTCCCCAAAACCCCAAAACCCCGCATGTTTTTAATAAGCGTTTAAGTTAAAACTAAAATTATACAACAATCAATAAATTCTGAATACACTTGCTTTTAATTGAGTTACTCAATAATGATTTTTACTCTATAAGATCTTAGTCAAAAGCTTAGGATTGAATTCCTCACCAATCTAAGTATCAAACAGTAACTTATCTGCCTCCATTACATTGTATTAATCAATAGTATTATACTTAGGTTCATCATCCAAATCTTCTATTAGAATTTCATTGGGGTCATCACCATCACCATGAGACTATTTTCTTTTATGCTCCCCCTCACCATCTAAGAAATTCTTATAAACCCTCAAAATATCATTAGTCTTTGCGTTCATGATATTATCATTACTATTCATAACTGCATCAAGTATTCTTCTGCGACGGTAGTTACTAAGAAATAGCTAAAATGGGATATTTGGATTCTCGGAAGATTTGAGTTTACCATTAGTAAGATTCTTAAAGAGTTTATAAATGGCTTGGTTCTCTGAACTTTCATCATTCTCTTTATTGTACTTTGGTAAATCTCTCTTTGAATATGTATTCTATCCTAAAGGAGGTAAAGATTTCTTTTTAGATATGTTGGTTCTCAATCTAAAATCCCTGTTGGACTATTCTGCTGTTCCAAAGGACTTATTTCTTGTTGTCGTTTTTGACTAATCTCTATCAGTATTTTTAAAGTTAGATGCTCCTTTTATGATATTTAGAAACTCATTAAACTCTATTTAACCACTCTTATCCTCATCTACAGAGTTCATTATAGCTTAAACTTCTTTCCTATTGCTGCATAAACCAAGAGAGATCAAAGGTTATTCTAACTCCTCAAGCCCAATACTACCAGATCCATCTGTATCTAATTCCCTAAAATATTTTCTAAGCTTTGCAAGTTCCTCATCGTTAAAATCTACAAAGTTAGACTTGCCATGTTTGTTTAACCACTATCTTTTAACTGAATCTGCCTAAAATAACATACTACTAGGTATCGAACTACTTGAGGCATGATTTTGCATACTTTTATTTCCTTTTATGTGATGATTATTTAAGATTATATTTTTGAGATTCAGTTGGGAATGAGTATTGCTTAGACCCATGGATGAGTTGTTGTTGGATAAACTGGTATAATTCAAAAAGGATCTTTGTGACTATTAGCTTTATAGCTTCACAGGTATCGAATACTGGAATTGTTATTGCTAGGCAGATTATTATGGTGGCAGTTATTAGTATATGTTAGTTTTAATGGATTGAAGTTAAGACTGAAGGTCCGCCTTAACTCTATGATTGAGAGAAGATGTCGTTGGCTTCATCAATCTATCTGTTCTCATCTTATTACTCCTATAGGCTTGTGAAATAGTTGATTAAGCTCTCAGATTTTTTTCAATGTCACTGATATTTTATTCGATTTTTAATTCAGATCTCTAGGATTGTCTTGATCAGTTGGTAAAGAACTGATTTCTGCTTGTGCTGCCAGTATCTTAAATTTTTAGGGGCTTTTGTGATATATCAGAGCTGATTCCAAATTGAGCTTTGCCTTGATTGACTATGTTTTTCATATTTTGATTTTAAATTTATATTCGTTTTATATCAATCTTTTCTTAATTAACTAGGGGTTTTGGGGTTTTGGGGG